AAAAGGGTTATGTCTAAGATATTATTATTTTTGGAAAATTTTCCATGATCCTCAAACATCCCTTTTGAAACTCAACTATCCAATATAAACCTTTAGCAGTATTTAGCTTCATCGAAATCGTTTTGATGCAAAACTTTTTGTCAAAGGTTCTCCCTAATTAATTCATGTTTTTGCCCAAAAGCTTCCATAATCCTTCCATCATCAGAGCACACTCTCCCAGAAAATACATATAAAGCAAATTAGGCTTTTTTGTTTGAGCCATGTTCTATAATTCATTCAAAGAATCAACTCAGATTCGAAAGTAATGATAATAGAAAACTCATCGTTTATGCAGTTTATTATACAAATATGTAAAGGAAAACTTTCGACTACATATTAATAGTATGAATGCATCATACGCGAAATGCATTATTGAATACCTTATTAAACATTTCAAAAGATGTTTTAAAATTACGGGTTTAGGAACACTGCATATGAGAAGTTAATCGCCGAGAAATATTATATATTAAAGCAATCTGCAAGCATCAAATTTGGATGTTCAAAGTCTTCGAAATTTTACTAACAAAGAATTTTCGATGCGATTGATGAATACACCACAAATTGTGAAATTAAATCAAATAATTTAGTTTCTGCAAAAGTGGAAAATGGATTTGTAACTCTTCGCATGGTTTTGAATGCGCCATCCTTCGCGTTTAGCTTTTCCTACTGAAAGAAGTGCTGATTCATAGAATTAGTTCAGGGTTTGCGACAATGTTAGATACCTGCCAAAGAGACGCACAATTCTTTAAAATTATACAATCGCTTTTCGCGACGCAGAGCAGTATGTAACTTTGATTCACTAGATGAATTAGTACTAGAAAGGACTGAAAACTGCTAACGGAACCTCTCAGATCTTATTTTCGTCCAAAAAGCTTGGCATTAAACAAGTTGTCCACATGCGTATATAATTACAGGCAATGACTCGCCATAGAAGGCGCATAAGTTGAACAAAGCGAAATAATTCGATGCATTATTCAGGCTCTCGAATCCTTTAACCTCAGCAGCTTTATGAGCGATTAAAAGGTAAGAGGAATACTTGATTTCTAACCTACGGTGACTACTTTTTGAGACTGTTACCATTTGCTTGACCAATAATTTAATGCGAAATCACGGCATGTTTTTTTAATGGAAACATGATTTTGTTTGGGTGGAAAAATCGAGAGGCACTTGATGTTATAAGTGGTTTTAGAAGTACTCTCTACCATGTGAATTCCATTCTGTATCGTCGAGGTTTATTTTGCTACTCAAAAAAAAAATTTCCAAAACCGTTTCAGTTTTCTTTTCACTACTTCGTCAGTACATCGCTAATTAGATCACTATCACGATGTTCAGATAGATGTTTTATATACTTTATTTTCAAAATGCGAGAAAAAGTTGGTAGTTTTGTTTTCCAGCAACTTGGTAGAAAATTGCATGTCTAGTTCCTTAGAAATGTAAGAATGTATTACAC